TTTGTTCATGAACCTGGCTCAGTGCACTGCTGACCTCTTTTCAATAGGGGCCAGATTAGCATGCAGCAGTGCTGCGTGGCTCATTGCTGCGGTGGTGGAGAGCTTTTGTCCCCGGTGGTAATCCGCTTGCTCTGAATACCCCAAACCCTGGTATACGGTTTCAAAATAACGCTGGATTATCACCACTTTTGAGAGTGAAAAATGCCGGTCATGCCCAGCAGCCTGGTCTTTTGTTCGGAGTACGGTCTTTTGTTACAGGGCCCTATTTCCTTTGTCCGAGTTCGGAGACCCCAGCCACACATATAAACCATACGGCTCTGATTTCGGAGTCCCCGGCTGGTAGTGGTTAATGTTGTATTCTATTTTTCGAAAAGTAATTTGTCCTCTGAGCAATTAATTGAATTGGAAATGATTTAATCTTCTATGTCATTTGTTTCCTGTCATTCTGTAGCAAAGAACACACAACAGTCATACATTGTCTTTGTACATGTAACTGATGTCTAAAGAGAAACCCATAGATTTTTATTCATATTGGAGTAAATACAGAATAGATTGTACACCTTTACTCCAAATAAAGACCCTGGCATCATGGTGGCTTTGGTAAGAGGTCAAAGTCACCATGAAAATAGCTTGACAGTTTGACCTCATAGCCGGCTGCAAGGTTGATTATGCAGGTTGGCGGGTATTCTGCAATTAAGCTTTAATATCTATGTTCAGGAACTTTTCCAAATTGTCCAGAGTACATGGAAATTGATGTAAACTTGATGACTAAAGCAAGATGGGCTCTTTTAGTTAACTATGTAACTAAGAATGAAATATCTTGTTTTGTTTTCTGTCAGTCATGCCTGTCTTTTTTTTAATCTGTGGCAGGAAACACAAGAAGGCAGTGCAGGTTTTATCTGACCTGCGAGTGTGGCATGACCAAACTCTTCCAGGAGGTCTACCAGGATGGCAACTCAATCCTATCTTTAGAACCAATCTCAGGATAACCTTACTGGGAGGGTGGGTGAATGAAGATGGCGAGTGCATTCAGATTCCATTTCTGGTGTCTTCTTTCCCGAAGGTCATCATTGTAGAAGAATGAAACAGTGTCTCTCGTGAGTGACATTAAGATTGTTCTGAGATTTTTTGTTTATGTGTGTGTCTGGCTACATTTACATCATTAGGGGTAAACCGTGGTCAGGCACTGGAAAAACTGCCCCAGACAAGAATACCAAAGACATTGAGAGCCTCAGCAAGTATGCAATGGAACGGTGGGAGGTAGGTGCTTTTATATAAAGCATGTTTTCTCAGTGAAATCGAACAGTTTTATACAGCAATGAATGTAGAAATGTACATGTATCTCAAACTTCTGTTTTGGTCTTTCCAGCTTATACTTCACTTCCTGGTTGGTTCTAAGGGGGAGGATAGCGTGTCTGCCGACATCGCCCACGTCTTAGTACATTCAGGACTCATGAAACTGTAAGTCCAGTGCAAAAGTATATTCACGTCACCAGCCAATTGCCAAGACTGGTAGAGCAAAGATGTCGGACAAAGTGTCTTTGCCCGAGCACCTGACTACCCGTTTTGACCTTCCATATTGCAGGAATGAGCATGGCAAGGCAGTCATTACACCGTCTGGTTTCCAGTTTCTACTGTTTGACACTGCATCTCAGGTCTGGTTCTTCATGCTACAGTATCTGGAGACAGCCGAGGTAGTTAGCAACTCATTTTTTTTTCATGCCTCTCTCTCTCAAGTCTCCTTACTGGAAATTTCCCTAAGTAATTTCCATCATCCAAGGACCCTGGCTTGGGTTATTGCCAAAATAAAATAACTAAACAAAGTTGACTGTCAGCCATACCCGATTTGTGATTTACTGCTTTTTGTGTGATTTCTTTTTAGTCCCGAGGACTGGATCTTGTGGCTGCCCTGTCATTCCTATTTCGTCTCAGCTTTTCAAGTTTAGGAAAGGTAATAAAATAAACATGTACACAGACAGGCAGCTCAAGCATAGGCACTGTTAGGCTGTTATCAAGGAACCAGATTTTTCCCTCCAGGGAATAACCTAACACCTGCAGGCCTATTTGTTCCAATTTAATCGCATTGGAACCATCCAATCAGTATGAAAGCTCAAACACACTGAAATCAAAAGTTTTCCCCTGGTGATATTCTCAATGCAAAGTACATGTACCAAAAGAGCACCGACAGAACATCTTTCTTAATGTCCAGGTTAAATTTGTGTGCAGGAGATAAGTTGATAGTCATTCTTTTGTCCACGTTGTTCAGGTATTCGCAAATTGACATTTCTCTCTAGGACTATTCCTGTGAATTCATGAACGATTCTCAACTCCAGTTTCTGCAGCACCTTCGGGAACTAGGTCTGGTCTTCCAGAGAAAGGTGAGATCTAAAAACATCGGAACTGTGGAAGGATTTGAAGGATTTATTGACTACTTGCCGCCAGGGTTGCCGGTACCGGACACACATTCTTTATACGCGTGGCCAAGGTCTCCAAAAATGGACAAAGGAAACTGGGCCTTGTAACAAAAGACCGTACTTGTAACACTTGGATTTAGCGCGAGTGGATTGCCACCGGGGACAAAAGCGCTCCACCACTGCAGCGATGAGCCACACAGTACTGCTGCATGCTAATCTGGCCCCTATTGAAAAGAGGTCAGCAGCGCACTGTGCCAGGTTCGTGAACAAAAGAAAATTACGTAACACCGCACAATGTGGGCTCTTTTTACAAGGCAGCAGGCCTGGCTTAGATACTCCAGGGTCAATAGATGTTGTCTGTCAGATTAGAGTAGAAATCAGACAGTCCTTTGTGTGGGTGTGAATGTTCAGTAAATGATGATATGAATTTTTAAAGAATTTTAAAAACAGAAAAATGAAGAAAATTATCCCGTCCCAGCATCATCAACATTCCTAAGTGCTTCCATCGCGAAGTGGTTAATATGAAAAATGTCTTCAAAAGGAACTCTCTATTTGAAAACTTGTGACTGCTGTTTTTACTTCTGCATTTACTACGTTTATTTTCAGAGGAAGAGTATGCGATACTACCCAACTAGTCTTGCAATCAATCTAGCATCAGGTATGACTTCAGGGTTTTTGAAAAATTTCCTGGAGTGTTCAGATTGTGCAAGTGGGGAACTGGGAGGGATTTGCCCCATTCCCCACCTATGACCCCTCCCCTTTTGTCCCCAGCATATGTTATTTGCAGCTTGCCATTGCTTGATATGTGGCAACCTTTTATTTGTACTCTGGATAGCTTAACTAGTCCTACATCCTTTCTCCCACAGGTGTATCCAATGTGAGCACAGACAGTCATCGAGAAGGTTTCATTGTGATTGAGACTAACTACAGAATCTATGCCTACACAGAGTCTGATCTTCAGGTGGAAATCTTAGGGCTGTTTACACAGATGCTCTACAGGTAATCCGTCATCTACAGTTGATTGAGTTTTGTAGATCTCGCAACCGAAGTACCAGAAACAATTGTGACCTGTCTCTTGTGATACTCTGCCTACTCAGATTTCCCAATTTATCTGTTGGCATAATCACACGCGAGAGCATCCAACAAGCTGTGTCATTTGGCATCAAAGCAGAGCAGATACTCCACTATCTCAGAACCAATGCTCATCCAGAGATGCGCTCTAGGGTAAGTCCCAGTCATTCCTTCTAGCCGTGCCAAATCTAACAAAATCCTAATTTGGGAAGTCTGTATGGGACTATGTTAATTAAGTGAAGTGGCATTTTAAAAAGTTACTCAAAAGTTTTATTAAATATACCATTTTCTTTTCCACCAGGTGCCTATTATTCCATCAACCCTCAGCGATCAGGTCAGACTCTGGGAACTGGAGAGAGACAGACTGTCCTTCCAGTCAGGTAAAAGTTCCAGTCATTGCCTGGTTGCAGGCTTGTTTCTCTTTGTTCGCGAGGAAGTAATGGCTCCGTGCAAGAACAGTAGATGGCGCTGCCAGGTGTACTCTTGGGAGCCATTGTCAGCAATTGGCCAGATAGATGCCAACAGTTGAATTGAATTTTACCCATTTTAAGGAAGACAGTCTAGCTGTTATTAAGTGTCCCTTTGATTACAAGTCTGTAAAAAATCTAACCTTTTCAAGAATTAATCATTTTCATCCAGTGAAAACCAAGAATTACTTCCCCCCCCTCTTATCATGCTCATATTTCCTTGTTTCAATTGCAGGAGTGGTCTACAACCAGTTCCTGTCATTACAAGATTTTGAACTGCTCCGAGACTATGCCAAGGTATTGAAACAGTATCAGTGGTGAAGGACTGTTGTAGAATCCATTATCAGGTGATAGCAAAGTGTTTTCAATCACTGTGTCAGATGTTCTCCTTTTTTGTTTTTAGGACTTGGGCGTCTTGATGTGGGAGAGTGCTGTCTCTAGAACATTAGTGGTGACACCAAGCGGTCACGACGACGTCAAGAAATTCTGGCGACGACAAAAGAAAGGCCAACAGTCGTAGCAAGACAGATGACTGTCTGTGTATCTTGGAGTGTTTATTTTTTCATCACCTTTTCAGTAACTTCAAGCCAACATCAATAGTCTTCTTTGAATCATAATGCAAGTTACAACACTAATAAAATCAAACAAAAGCTTCCATGCTTACAAAATTTCACAGCTCCTTAATTGCAAGAATTCACTTGAATACATGTATTCGCTTGAATGGGGGCATGTGGCCTAGTGGTTAAAGTTTGTAGCTTCTGATCATAGGGTCAGGGGTTCGAATCCAGCTGGTGGCAGCATGTTGTGGTCCCGGGCAAGTCACTTTACCCCTATGTGCTTCTCTCCACCCAGGAGTAAATGGATACCTGTGAGGGCAGACACGGTAATGTTTAGCCGTTTGCACCAGGCTAGTATACTCCTCAGGGAGCTGAGATGGTTTCAGGAATGTTCAGATGATGTGATCCCAATGTGCAGGGACAATGATAATACGCACATGGAGACATTCCGTAATATGCGCTACATAAGAACTGATTATCACTATCCATGAAGTTTCATCCTTCCCAAAATTTGTGGTGTAATGCTCAAATGTTGGCAACAGATTTCAACACTATTGACACAGGGTCTTTGAAAGCGGAAATCACAATAGACCGATTGCGCCTGCTAAATCACTTGACCTATAGTGGGTATCAACCCCATAACAGCGTGTGTTTTGAGTGTTGTTTACTACAAACTATACAGCCAGGTTATGGTTTAGTACCCAGTACATTCGTAGTCTGAGTACGGTACCTACCGTCCGCGTTATATTTAGTAAATGATACTTATAAAACACTTTGCTTTTGGTGGACGTCGTGTTTGTTGATATTTAATACCCACTATAGGTCACGTGACTTAGCGGGCGCAATCGGTCTATATGACTTCTCTCAAGTATCCTGAGTATCTTCTTGAAAAAAAAAATCAAAGTGAGGTACACTGAAAGAAGGAATTTCATCATTATATCTTGCACAATATGAGGTTCTGTTTGGTGGAAAACATTTGAACATTTTTGTATGGTTTGTACATATTCAATAAAATATGGACCATGTTACATTTTACTGCGTTGGAGTTCCTTAATGTACTCCAACACACAAGTTTCCAAGACATTTTAATAAGAGTGCAGAATATACCAACTTGATCAACATCACTAAGTCAGGCCAGAGGTGATCTTGGGGGTTGCTCCGGGGTCATGTCCACATCAGTACGTACAATGACATTATCCAGACTCTTCCATTGTCATTTTGGTATTGCTTGTGGTAAGTAAGGCTTGAGAACTTCTGGCAACTGGAGAAAAATATGAAACAATTATTCATCAGATACAGAAAATGGACAGCAGAGAAAAGCTGGATCAACCCAGGATCTGAACCCAAGACATGTAGACTGCAGTTGAAGTGGCCTACCAACCCTACTGTCCACTATCAGCACACCTGTCCAATAGTGGAATGAACATAAATCAAGACAGAGAAAAGAACTCAAAAGTTATTTGTGTGCTTACCTGCTGATGTACAGAGGGAAGAAGTGCAGCAAGTATGACAGAAGTATCTAGTGCTGTGCAATGTACCTGACGATGACAATCAAATATTAAGAAAGCTATACCAATTATTGATGTCAAAGACAGAGACATGGTGTGTCTGAGTGCAGAGAGATCTCCCAGGATTCATCTATAGACTAATCCAGCTATAGTAAGTTTGTGCAGTCATGTTAAGCTCACATGAGTCTCGCTCTGATTCCAGCAGAGCTGTATATAGAGAGAGTAGCGTTGACTTTGGAACCAAAATGGCCGTTCATAATGTGAGCAAAGCAGCATGCAGCTATTGCGTACTAATATGGGCAATTCACAATAGTGCGCCTCCAAGAGTTGCAACACGTTGGCCAATCACAATGCGCAAAACCTGCCGACCCTTTCCAGATGAGCATTAGGTTGACAGATATTGTGCAGTTGTGATTGGCCATGCATTGCAAACTCTTGGAGGTGCACTATCGTGAAACGCCCATTTTGTCTATGTGCAATGATGCATAATCCACCATTTCAGTTCCAATTGTTGCAATATTTACGTCGCAACTCTCTCCATAAAGAGCTCTGGATTCCAGTTTACAACCTAGAGTTTCTACGCTAAAATTACATAACTGTACAATGTCTGTATCCAAGCAGTATATTCAGTGGATATGTAGGAACTGCATTATGCCTACCGTGTGGGGGAAGTTACGTTGTCTACTCTGAGCTGCTTTCTGCGATGGTATTGCTGGATATCTCATTTTTACTCGTCGACTGATGTAATCAGTACAGTTTGATACACTGGCAACCTAAACACCAAACCATAACAATGCATTCGATTTCATTGAGGATTTGTGATCTAAATTTCATTGCTCTTTGGCAGAACACAGTTCAAAAGGAAATTACTCGAGTCAACCATTTGCAAAAGTCTGCCCACAAGATGGAAGAGTTGTACTGAATGCAGAGGTAGGAAGTTTATTTTGGAAACTTAAACTTACCTCTACAAATTTACCAGCATCTGGTATCCAGACTTCAATGGCACATTTCCTGTACATGCTGGGAAGTAGACGGGCACTTGGAACTTCAACAATTCTTCAAGAACAAATAATGCAGAAATTTGTCACTATTCAAATGAAAGAAAGACACAGGTCTGGAAATACAGTCATACTGAAAGTACACCACTGTTTCAAACTTCTACAAAAAGGGACTCTCTCAAAAATGTCAGCCTCAAACTGCCGTCCATTACGAAGCCGATTCCTACCTGCCATGAAGAGGGAGAAGTGATAGAAGACCCCTGGCTGTACTCAGAAACTGATTGAAAAGAGCATTACTAGCTGCTTCAGTATTCTCACAAACTCCAAACAGTTCAACCTGTCAATAAGTAAACACCATGGTGGATTCACAAACAGCATTTGACTTTTACATAGGTCCATGCCCAATGATATCTCACTTCTATCTTCTCATCTTTGGAAACAGTTGAAATGTGTCAGAGCAGTTTAACATTAAGTGACAATGAAGGCAACCTGTCTTACCCTCTGTGACTGGAAACTTTCTTGAAGTCCCTCAAAATAAGTAGATTCTGTAAACAAACAGTTCAGTATGTACTGAATTTATCACAAACCTTAGCACAACAGTTTCACACTTGCAGCAGAACTTTGAGTAATACTCTAGAACCTTTTTTTTCCAAACGTTTTAGTCTTCATTCTGGTACTTGACTACTTCTGATGGATTGTCTTGTATAAGACTGGGTGTACTGTAGTTGGACTTTATAATGAGGTCATAAAGGTGACATACCTTGATGTTGTTTGTAACTTCTTCCAACTGTAAAGCACCTGAAACAAGCAGAGAAAAGTAACAAGGTAACAGCATTTCAGCCAATCATACTGAGTACTTCATAAGCATATTTATACTAAAAAACACATTGAGGAAAACAAAATCTAAGAATTAAAATTTCATGACTCTGAAACACAGAAGCTTCAATTTTCCAGCAAAAGCTTTTTGTTGCTACTTTTTCTCAACAAAGACTTTTGCACTGCTTACCTGTAGGGTAAATCAGATGCTTCAACAACAGACATCATGAAGTAAGCTGAAACAAATACAAACTTACTTTAATTCAGTTGTTAATTGTTGATTTCTAAAAAAAATAACCTTTGGTGAGAATTTGTTCACAAGATGGTCAAAAAATAATATGAAATCTGCAGTAGTCGACGATGACAAGAGATAGTGCTATTTTTCTGACAGTGCCCAACCCTTCACGACTTTAATGCTGGCAAAACTGAAAACAGCTGGATTAGTATCACAATGCATCAATCTTGCTGCACATATTAAGTGGCCATTCTCCTGAGGAATCACACAAACCTTCCAAACAGACAAAAAATGGCTGGTGTTGTGTCTCCAAATCCAACCCAGACGTTTTCCTTGTTTTTTTTTCTTCAAAATGAATCTTATATACTTGCAGCGATGAGATTGATTTCACTTTTAAGGGTCTTTAGCTCAGATCCAAGAAACAACTTACCAACAAAAGCCAAGGAACTGACTCCTGCTAGATATTGTACATTCTCGTGAGTCTCAATGGCATATGTCTGTGAGAAATGAGCATCAAATCATTTATAGTGTCAGATATCATCTTCTAATTAGAACATCCAAACCACGAGGCGGAATAAACAAACAGGCTATTTACCGCTGGGTAAGCATCAACCAGAAGTGAGAGTTTGACTAGCAATCAGGTTCAGTTGCCAAAATTGAAATGTTGAGTAATGTCATCAAGATGGTTCTTGGTGCAACCTTGACTTATGAAATCAAAAACCTCATTGTAGGAAAATACATGTACCATGTCTCAGCAAGTTTTCATACCAGAAGATTTTTAAAAAAGGAGAGACAGATCTTACCTCATTGCTGTTGTCTGGATCTAGACCAAGTGATTCCTGCACAGAAATGGCATAAAGGACTGACATGAAACTTGTGGGATAATCCTGTGACAGTTTACTAATAAGTGTCTAAAGTTCCTACGCCACACATCTGCTTACGATTTTTAATTTAATATGGAGAAAGATCTTTGTGGGAGCTGTAGAGGGTAGTGTAAGGCATACAGACAAGTTTCAGATAAACACACTTCATGGGCAGTGGTGGTGCTCAGTGGGAGTGTGTCAGGGGTCAATTTTCCCTTCCAACCCCATCAACTGCTTTAAAGGGGGACAAACCCTCTCCTTCCACAGGAAGTACATGCAATACTCCATTATATAACTGCTATTCATTGTAACATTAAATGGAAAGATAAAGTGTGCACATTAAGCAACCAGGCATGTAAACTCAATATAAAATGTTGCTCAATTTACTGTTTTATTTTCTAAACTTCACTGATACAGGGATATCCTTTGGGGGGCCCACTGATGAGAAGTCTTACGAAACCCATGACAATCTAAAAAGATGTGAAGAGCTCAACTCACCAGTGCAATAGACTTGTACATAGCTGGGCAGGAGAGTGGGGTAAATCCTTGATCTAGGAGTTGCTGCTTTACCCATTGGGTCAATGCTAGCTCCAGCAGAGCAGCCTCGTGCTCTAGGTAAGCATAGCCTCCATGGGACATAGGGTGACTAATGGAAAATGCACAAAAACAGTGAACTAGATCAGCACAGGATGCGTCAAGACATCTGTTAGGACTGGAAACAGTATACTTGATTCTCATAAAAAGCTGTCTAGAAATACCTGGCAATTAACAACAGGACCAATCATCAATGCTGTACAACATTCACTTATGTTGATAGCTGCTTCCTAAGATGTGAACACAGGGCTCTGCCATCATGACTTAGACAAGTAAAACCTTTGACATCAAAAGTAATATTCAAGTTTAAACTCACTTAGCTTCATGTGAGTTTCAGTTGATATCTGATCTCAATATGAACTAAATAAAATACACATATGTACGTGGTTACCTTTCTGTTAGAAATATGTTTGGCGACTGCTCTTTAGGCTTGTCGCTCTTTTCTTCTGTAAGAGATAGAATCTAACTGTTATTACATCTTTCAAAATAGTCAACAATGTCAGTTTATATAATCATTCTACATTGTGACATAATTACAAAAACTTGCCAAGCCATTTTTTGTAATTAAGGATCCCAATGATTGGATTTTGTGTCCTTCCTTTCAGCCAGACCAATGAAATGTAAATTCTTTCTCTCAAAATAATGCACATGAGGTCAAATGTTTTTCTGTTATCCTGCTAACCTCTCTTTCAAGAATTCTTACCTTTGTCAGTTCCAAATGTCTCCAGAATCTTCAGCATACTCCCACACGGCTGTGTTTGAAAAAAGAGAGACTACTCTTCAAAGATTAAACATCAACGATGTATGCTGCAGGGTTTGGTTTTTAATAAATGTTGAATTTAACTGTTAAGCTAATTTGACAACCAACAGCTTGACTTCAGCTAATAAAATAAAAATAATGAAGCAAGATGAAGAACGGACAAGTACACTATTCTACTGACTTCTTCAAAATGCTTACCACGGCAGGATGTAACTTGTTAGGGAGCTTGAGAACAGCAGGATAAAACTCGTCTGACAATGAGGCTATAGAAAACTGGCAGTAAATGCAGGAATCAGTTTACAAAATATAACCAAACAGTGGTGTAAAGATAGAGGCAATGATATCTCAATTAAATCAATGAAAGAACTATGTACATGTAATAATTACAATTATTCTACACTTACATTAATCTGGCGTAATTCCTCACGAAGTGACTTTCCCATCTGTTGCAGTTTGTCTTTCTGTTCTTTTGCCCCACCCTGTGGAAAAAAAAAAGTTTGGGGAAAGAAAATGTCCTTTTCTCAAATCTTCCCCTTAAGCAATGTAAGTGTTTGACACTATGACAGTACTTTCCCAAAGCTCAACAACTACAGTGCGATGGAAGATAGTGCTTTGAGAACTTTTAAGTCAGAACAAACTACAAATTATAAATCAATAATTTTATCAAGTGAAAATGAGATCACCTTTTTTCTCAAACGTTTAATATCCTCATTGACCTTTGACCTGCGATCCTCGATGCAACTTTTCTCCTGTTCAAACTTCTGGAGCTTCCCCCACAATGAAATCTTTGTTGACAAGAAAGTTGAGAAAATGAAAATATGAATTTCTGTAAACAATGGTAAATCAGGTACATTTTCCAAAATGTCATATTATATAAATCTTGTAAATCATGTAAGTTGAAATAACGTCTTTTTAGAATGAGAAGAGGAAAATACTCATATAAATCTAACCCTTAACCCCCAGTGCTATATTTTCATTTTTACCTTAACGGATTATAATTATTCCTGGTATGCTCTGTACTTAAACATGAATTGCAACGAAAATCACAAATATTAAAAAATTAACCAAAATTACAACATCAACAACAAAAAAATATGAAATGTAGGGAATATCACCACACTCTGAAAGATTTATCAACACTCGCAAAATATATCAGAATTTCTCACCAGTTTTGATACATTGACTTTATGGCCCCTGGCATCCAAATTCTTTTCCAACTCGCTTAGGTCTCCAAAAATTCCATCAAAGTCAATTTCTGGTTTCAAGACAAACGGTACATGGTCCGCTTCTGACAGAGGAGTATACAAAGCTGATGAGAAGTGTTTTGCTACTAGCTGCTGTACTTTGCAACTGCCTTGCAACTGACGTTGTGAAGACGGAAAACCTGAAAAGCTTTTGTTCACTTCAAGGAAATAACTTGTACCATCAACCCTGTCTGGTGACGACTCATCGAATGAAATTCTCGAGGCAGATCGGTGGGGATGAAGACCGATTCTGACTCCAATTTTTGGCTTGTGTGTTCTAAGACAAAAGCTACAAATACGCAGCATGTACATGATGAATTTGCTGTGTGAAAATCTGCTTAATGCAGAAGTTTTCCGGAAGTGCACGAACGACTTCTAGCGGTCTGCACCACGTGTGAATCAAAACAAACTTATCCGAATGAAGTGCGCCCTCAATCGACTAGGTTATGTGGCTCAAGCTTAACGAGGACAAGCAACATGAACGACCTAAAAATTGCCAAACGGAATTTGTCCGATGCTTTAGGCGATAACATCAAGCTGTAAGTATTCAACCCATCATGAATGACAAACGGGTCATGGTGGCATAACTGTATGAAATAAGTTGGCTGCAGATTGAGAAGAAAGTGACTTGAACTGCAGCAGTCATGATGTAGTTGATGATCGGATATGGATTCGGGCGCCCCCATTGACATGTTACATCCAGTAACATAGGGTTGGTTGTGAGTGGATGTACTCTCATGATATAGGCTTGAAGAAAAAAGAACATTAAGTTTCCTTGTTTATGGAGAAGTAGAATTTGGAGCAGTACTATATTCACATGGTTTACTTTATTTAACATGCTAAAGTAAGACTGCCCTCCCACACAGTGTTCAGTAGGTTGTCTTGTCATAGCAAAATATCACATGGATCTCCTCTGCTTTCTAATCGTTGTAGATATTGGGCCAACATGAAGTTATGGTATAGACAAAAGGTAAGTTTATTTCACAACTTAATTTTGTTGATCATGATAATGCCCCCCCAAAGAAAAAGCCTCTAATAGAAGAAGTTATAAAACTTACACGTACATGTAAGTAGTCAAAACTACCCGTGTGCTATTTTGAGATTTCGCTGTTTTGAGGAATCACATTACTGTGGATATCATAATTACAGTATCACTAGCAGATTTTAAAACAACTCACTCCACGTGTATGATACATTTGAATGAAATATACATGTACTATCATTGCAATTTTTGTACATCAATCTAGTCTGATGTATTACTGTAACTAAGTAACAGTCTTTTCCTCTAGTGTTTCAATAGTTGTTAACCTTTCCTGATTTCCCTGCAACTGTTCCCCAGATTACCAAGGAGGAATTTGATCTGGAGGCCCGTCGTCTTCTCAGCGATGACAACAGTGAGTCATTCAAAATGTTTTACTCCTGATCAGTATGCCGTTAACCATGCCTGCCATTTCTGATTTACGCTCATTAGTCAACTGCCTCCAAAATTCCTCTCCAAGGGAATTGTTGTTGAACTATTGTGTTGCACAGCCCATACTTGGGAATTAAAAGGCTGATGGTTCAGTATTAGGCATTAAACTCATCCGACTTTGACAGAGACCATTCATTTGCTCTTTCATTTCAGTACATTTACACAACGAGTTTCTGGTGACAGTACTCACAAGATGTCAGATACTCAGCTCAGAATCATCAGGTGAGTTTCAACCTTTCAAGTTTTGAGAACCTTTCTCTTTATCATGCGATAAATACTGTTGAAAATATGTAGGTTTATATTGGGCACTTTTTGCAGTCGTCGTGATGGAAGTTATTTCTTTTCCTCTCCCAGCAGAGGCATCCAAGGTCAAGAGCAGTAGTTTATCCAGCAGCACGGAGAAGCTGACGAAGAAGAGCAAACCACCAAAGAAGAAGAAAGTCCTCGTCAGACCCACCTTTGAGGTAAGTCTTGAATTCAAATGACAGCCACAAGATGTGCACTTAAAAGTAGGGATAACTGGCTGAGAACACCTGTCACTTGTAGGGTAATGATCTCATTCTTCATTGCATGAGCACAATAAGGGTTTTTGTACAAAGTTGGAAGTACAGATTCCTTATTTTGTTGTCAGTTTTCTGGGATAATCCTCAAAATTTCAATAATGAAACATTTGAGTTTTCCTATTTGCATTCTGCTAGCATCTGCTTTTTGGCATAAATCAAAATACAACTCAACTTTTCATGCCTGTATAATTATAATCACATTTTGTCCCCCCTAGAATCGCTTCGTGCCATCGGATGCCATGCTCAAAGCTCCCGCTGTGGCCATGCAAGTTGAAGAGTCGTTAGACTTCTGCGCTCGTAGCCTGTTCCTACCAGACCCTGCTATGCTCCATGGGCGTGTCTTTGTCACGGCATGGGAGTGGGGCATTGATAACGTGTCAGGAGCTACCATACCATTGATAATGCACTCAGTGCAGGTAAAGTAGTGATAAGACAAGACAATTTGAAGTTCAGTGATCTTGTGTGGTTTTCATATGTAAAGCCATTGTTCCGTAATCACTAACATAGGACAGAAATCACTGTTTTTTTCTTCTTGCACTTTGAAGTGTTTGTTCCTCTGTGTTTATGTGTAGCATGTACTGAAGAACGTGATCAGTGCAGTGATTTCTCGTCGCAGCGGCTACAGCGTACGAGAAGGCAAGTTTAAACACAACATGGGTGTCTTCATGCAGCTTCCATCCCTCCGAAACCAGTCCAGAGACCGACCTCACCTTGAGAAAAGGTACAAATGTATGTCCAAGTTAACAGCAAGTGGTGTCTTCTGGGTGCCGTTTGGAATTCAGATGGGCTATGTTTCCATCTATTTTGGTCATTCTATAAATTTGGTGTCCAAAGGTGTTCCATTCTTGTGTTCTTGTTACACCTGACCCTGTGTCATTGGACATAGAACTATCA